TGAGGACTTGAGCACCCCAGCCCCTGGTGTCAGGGTACAGGCTTGGTCTCACCAGGCACACGCATGCGTGCACACACACACACGCCCACACCTAGGTGACACGTGCACACGCTCACACACAGGCACAGATGTGCACACGCACGCACACTCACGCACACACAAGGCACACATGCAGACTCTCGCACACATGTGTACACATGCACACATGTGGACACATCCACACACCCACACCCAGGCACACAGTGCACACTCACACACACGCACATAGGCACACATGCAGACTCTCGCACACATGTGCACACATGCACACATGTGGACACACACATCCACACCCACGCATACAGTGCACACTCACACACACATGCACACACACAGGCACACACGCAGACTCTCGCACACATGTGCACACATGTACACACGTGGACACACACATCCACACCCAGGCACACACATGCACACTCACACGCACACACACAGACACACACGCAGACTCTCGCAACACGTGCACACACACGTGCGCACACACGCACATGCGCACACACCCACACCCAGGCACACACGTGCACTCTCAGGCACGCACGTGCGCACGCCCACACACTCACACGACATGCACGGACTCTCGCACACGCACGCACACACGGGACACACGCTCGCACACACAGGCACACGCACGTGCTGCGCTGTCTCGCACGCAGTCAGCACTGGCCGCTCAGTGCCTGACCCGTCCCGCGGCCACGTCCCAGCCCTCCCAGGCCCGCTGCCCATGCGGGTGCTGTTAGCGACACAGTGGCCCCCGGCCAGGAGAGGCTGCTGCTGCACCTTCCTGTCGCCGCCACCAGGCTAAATATAACCTGACACTGCACAGCCCTGCTGCTCCGGAGACAGCCTCCGCCGGGGGCGGGCAGGGCCGGCCCCAGCCCCTGCCCTCGGTGTGACTTTGGGCCCTGCTCTGCGGGGAGGGAGGCAGGAGGCCACGGGGCCAGGATGGCCGCCTCCCCGAGGTCACCTTCCCCGCAGGGCCCGCACCTCGCGCTCTGGATGCTTCCGCCGGGCCATCTGTCATCTCATCTGGCGCCCAGAGCAGGGAGCGCTGGTCCCTGCGGTGCCCACGGGGAGGCTGGCGCTCAGAGAGGCGCGTGACCTGCCCACAGTCACACAGCAAGAGACGCCCCTCCGGAGGCTGGCACAGATGGGGTCTGCTCTGCCTGCTGGGTTGTTCTCTCCTCCTCAGCCTCCTACCGGGCTCTTAATTGGGGTCCTGTGACTCCATAGTGTAGGGGGGCTGGCACCAGGCAGTCTTGTTCCTGATTGCCTAATGCTTCACATTTGAGTGTTCAGGAACTAGTTATGGGGGACCAAGGCCACCCCAAGGAGCTATGAGCACGTCTAGAATACAGCGGAGCAGCCAGAGCTTGGGGCTGGGGGTCTGCACCCCAGGACACCCAAGGTCACCGTGGGCCTCCATGGCACACCCCCAACCTACAGTCTGGAGACAAGACTGGGCTCAGCTCCTGCCTGGCCCCAGTCGAGGCTGGTGGTGCCCAGGGTGGGGCTTGGCTTTGGGGCAGTGCCCAGGGTGGGCTGGGCGTGGGTTGGCACCAGGTGAGGTCAGGCAGCCTGTGTCTTGCTGACCGAGCCCTCGCTGTACCTGGAAGGTGTGTGGGGGAGTGGGGGGTTTAGTCCAGGACGTGGCCTAGGCTGCGCACCGGCATCTCACCCGGAGAGGGGTCAGTAGTGTGGCCCCAGGGCCTGCTGTCCCTCTCCGCCCCTTCCGCTCCCTTTACCAGGACCTGCCCTGGGCCAGCTCAAACATCAGGCCACATCCCAGCTCACAAACATCACAGCCTGTGTGGGGCTGCCCGGCCTGCCAGGGGAGCAGCCTGGGGTGGGGAGGAGAGGTGACTTGCCCAAGGTCATTCTGATGCCACAGCCCGAGGCACCCCACAGACTTTCCTCGAGGAGGGAGGGGGTCCCTCCCCGCGCGCCTCTGTCTCCCTCCTCCTCCCACAGCTCCTGGGCTCTCCGGAGCAGGCCGCGACTGCCGCCAAGCGGCGCTCGGGGGAACTGCGCCTCCAGCAGCTCGGGGAAGTGGGGCCAGTGCCAGCGCCAGCGGCCCGCAGGGGAGGGGGGTGGGGCCGGCCTCTGGCTGGGGAGCCGCCTGGGCAGGAAAGGGGAGCCCCGGACCGACCCCGACCGGACTGGGGTAGACAGGAGCCGGGGCCGTGTAGGGCGAGGCACGGTTCTCCCCCGGGGGCTCCCCGGGAGGGGCGGGCGCCTCTCGATGTCCGCTGTGAGGCCACCTGGGCCCCCACCCTAGCCCCGCAGGCCGCCCGGCGTCCATGCCCGGTGTCCACGCCCGGAGCTGCTGCCCAGCACCACCGTGCGGTCCCGCTCCCACCTGCCCCGGCCCAGTGATGTCCTGCGCCCCTGCTCAGGCCCGTGATTGTGCCTGGTGACCGGCCGGATTGCTGCAGGGCGTGCTGAAATGCTGGGGCGCTGATGTGGGCTCAGGAGCACCCCACCCAGTCTCGGGGAGTCGCAGGCGGGGACTCTGCTGATTCAGGGCCACTGTTTCCTTCCAGTCCCCTTGAAAATAGCGGCCGAGCCACCCGGCAGCCGCCCCCCGCAGCTCCAGGCAGGGCTCCAGCCCGCATTGCTGGAATAGCCAGGCTTTGACAGGGCTGTTTGAAAGGGAAAATTCCTTGTTATGTCGCCAGGGGCGAGGGCCAGGGGCTGCGTGCGTGCGTGTGCACGCGTGTGTGAGCGTGTGAGCGTGCACACGCTGCAGCAGACGCCGGCCTGTGCCAGCAGTGAGAATTTCTGCAGTGCAGCAGGGTGTGTGGCACCGTGTGGTGCCAGGGGCCCCGTGGCAGAGTGCCACTGTCCTACCCCAGTGGGAGCCTGAACTGACGGGACTAGGGAGCTGAGACCTTAACCTGAGACTTCCGAGGCCTCGGGGCAGAACCCCACAGCCATCCTGAAGGGTGGGGCCCCTCGGGGCTCCAGACTCAGGAATCTGGGAGGGGAGCTGCTCCGTGACCCGGGCCCTGATCGCTGGGGCCCAGGGTGTGCGCCCGAGGTCGCAGGGTGCAGGTGTCCGGCCGTGCGGCCTCTTGTAGCTCAGGGCCTGTCCCTGCTCAGGCTGCCGCTGGCCACCACCATATTAGGGCAGAAACTCTAGGCAGGCTGTCTGGGTGCCAAACGGCCTCCAGCTGGGCCCGGCCCCCTGCGGCTTCCAGCCCCACAGCTGTGATTCAGCTGGGCCAGGTCAGAGGTCAGAGGTCAGGGGCCAGAGGCCAGAGAGGCTGCTGAGGGAGCCCCTGGCAGAGCCCTCCACTCGGTCCTGCAGGCCGATCCCTCTGCTTGGGGGTGTGAGGGGCGCGGGACCCCTGACCAGCCCCTCTCGGCCCAGCCCTCACCCAGCACCACCCTGTGCCCATGGCTGTGGAGGGCCTGCGTCCACGTGACTAACCCCGCCTCGGTCCCCATCGCAGACCTGCTTCCCTCGCTCAGCCCTGCCCCCCGCGTTGTCCCCGCCTGGCCAGCGTCTCCCAGGAATCAGGCCCTCAGCGGCCGGGACTGTCTCAGGGCTCAGCCCCGGCCCAGCCCGGGCTGACAGAGCCTCCAGGCTGATGCCCTCTCCCCGGACCCCGCCCCCCCAAGGTGGGTGGTAGAAAGGAGAAGGATGGACTGGCCGGGGCCTGGGATAGGGGTGCTGGACCAAAGGTCCCCTCGCTTCCCTGCGCTCCACCCTTGACTCTTCCTCCACTTGGGGCCCCGAAGGCGGGGGAAGGGCAGACTAGGCAGCACAAGGCAGGGGAGTCTTTGGAAGGAAGGAGATGGAGGATCGATCGGGACAGGGTGCTGATGAACCAGGAGGACTTCCTGCAGGCGGAGGTCAGAGCTGGGCCTGAGGGGAACCTGGAGAAATCAGCACCGAGGAGGGTCATGCCTGGACTGGGGGCAGGGTGGGCTGGCCCATTTGGCCCGGTGGGCTGACCTCAGCTGGTGGAGGGCTCAGGTGGCCAGGAGGGGGTGGGGGAGAAATGAAGACAAGACGGGCAAGATGGAGGAACGCTCTGGAAGCAGTGCTTCCTGACGCTCGGTGCGGAACCAGTCTCGCTCCCAGCACACCGGCGACCAGCACTTCTGTACAGCCTCCTGCCTGGGTGCGGTGGCCATGCCCACTGGCCGCCAGCTTCCAAGGCTTGTGAACTCACCTGCTGTGGGCCACACCGTCAGGCCCAAGGAGAGGGGACAGAGATGGGGACAGTGGTCCCCCTTGCTGCAGGGGGCGTGTTCAAGGCCCCTAGGGGAGTCTGAGACGGCAGAGACCCTGAGCCCTCCATGCGCTATATTCCTCTCTGTGTCCCCCGAATCTGACCACAGTGACCGGCAATAAAGCTGGGCAGTTACGCGGCGCCTGAGTAGCCTGGGTGAGCACGGGCTCCCTCTCAAAATGCCTTACTGAGCATGTGCGGACGTGCTGGGGGGGGGGTCCCCAGGACTAGGCACAAGTTCAGGAAGGGGAGTCTGGGAGCAGGAGGGCGCGCTGGCCCTCTCGCCCACCCGGGGTGCCCACACCTGCCAGGCCACGTAGCAGGTGGCCACTACTCCATCTTGGCAGCTCATGAGGAAAGACGGGGGGCAGATGGTGACCGGCCGCGCATGAGGGACCAAGCAGAAGGGCTCTGTCCCGAGGCCCCGGCCGGCGCCGGCGGCTCGTCTCCCTGAGGCACCGCCTGGTCCAGTGGACAGGAAGCAAAGGGACGCGGGGTGGAAAGACGGAGGCGCAGCCACCAGAGAGAGTCCAGCGGGGCGGGAGGACGAGAGGAAGGGCTGCAGGGGACAGCCGCTGGGTGCGGGGAGCTGGCGGGTGCTGCAGGGGGCACTGGGGACAGGCGGGCAGTGTGCGGGCTGCATGGCCCTGCAGGTGTGGGGGTGCCCTGCTTGCCTCTGCTCTGCCCACCGAGCCCTGGTGCCGGCGCGTCCCCCCGCAGGGAGCTGCTTCCTGTGCCTGGTGGATGTGGTGCCCGTGAAGAATGAGGACGGTGCGGTCATCATGTTCATCCTCAACTTCGAAGTGGTGATGGAGACTGACCTGGTGGGGTCCCCGGCCCGGGACACCAATCACCGGGCCCCCCCCTCCAGCTGGCTGGCCCCAGGTAAGTGTGGCACTGGCTCGCGACCACATGGTCTCCCTCCTGGGGTCGAAGGTCTCCCCAAGGGGCTACCTAGACCACTGCTTTGCAGGAAGGACGGGGGTGGGGGGGTGGCTTCAGAGGTGGGGTGAGGACATGGAGGATGTGGCCTGAATGGCTCCGGGCGGAGAGACCCAGGTGGAGGGACAGACTCAGTCTCACAGTCCCGGGGATCGCACCTACTAGGGCTCTCGGGAGCTGCTGCCCTGGAAGGCTGTGTCCCCCGCGAGCTCCTGCTCTGTGTCCGCACCCCACCCTGCTCCCGTCGGGCCCCCCTGCAGGGTCTGGGTGAGGAGACTCCAGGGGCTGCTCACTTTGGCCGGGGGCCAGGGGGCCTCACCTCACCCCAGCTTCCAGCAACCGAAGGCTCAGACCCCTTTTGGGGTTTAATCTGAGTTCATTTCCAGAGTGATGGTTTCGCAAGCCCGAAAGCGACCCTGCCCGCAGCCCTGGGGACATGCTCTGCAGAGGGGCCCTGGGGGCTGGCGCCTTCACTGTGTGACCCCGGGGCGCCGGCCTGGCACATGCCCCATTTCCTCATGTCCAAAATGGGGGAGACATCCCCGTGCAGTGATCAGAGCCCACACCCCCAATGCCAAGGAGTGGTAACTTAGGGCCAGAGCCCGAGCTTCCATTGTGTTCTGGGGTAGTGGGTGAGTCTGGCTTTGGGACGGGCACCGCTGGCTGTCAGGGCTCCCGCTCCCCTTCCTCCCCTCACAGAGCCACAAGCCTCCCCTCTCGCCCGCCCGCAGGCCGAGCCAAGACCTTCCGCCTGAAGCTGCCCGCGCTGCTG